GATGGAATCCAGCCATGCTATCTACGCGAGGCGAGGGTAAAGGAATAGTTAATAGGCATCGAATCTATAATACTTCTAATGTATTATAGTTACATGATTGATTCTCCTGGGTAAAACTCCGGTTCGATCGTTATAGCACCCTGAAATACTCCTACAGTATTTTAATCCTTATGTTCGGTTCTAGAACTCTTCTGGTATCTAGGTAAGTTTTAGGCTTGCTGCAACACCACAGTCACTCCCAAGCACATGTTGGTCATGTCTCGAATGAATATAGTTGATCAGGCCATATTGAATCTAGACATGATTACATAACTGCCCAGGTTTAACCGCAGTGTCCAACATCCAAATACTTTTGTTTTGTTCTACTTACGACACGGATTCTGATACTCGGGTATACTTATATACATTTATAAAAATACTTGTATTTTCGAAAGTATACTTTTTAGTTTAGAGCACTTAGGCCCCTTAATATTTATAGTTGTATACCATGTAAGGTTCGGTATACTTAGTTCGCTATAAACAAGGGCTCTGATACCAATCTGTCACACCCCGAAACCGTGATGGCGGAATCGTTCCGGGGTGGAGGACGTCATGCGTAGTATCACAACAATTGTATCATAGCAAGCATAGTAAACACAACCAGACATTGAATACATATATGAAAAAGGTTTACATTGTTTAATACATAGTTTTGTTCATATCAAAAGTAAAATAGTAAAGACGCGACTCTAATGCTCCGACTTCTCCGAACTCCTGGAAGTACCTGTCTACTAATTCCCTGAAAATACAAGCAGTTTTGAAGAATATCAGCATAAAGCTGGTGAGTTCATAAGCGTTTAATTTTTGGTGGAAAAATGTTCTTTGATCCTTTTGAAAAGGGTTCCTCAAGAAAATCCTACATTTTCTTATGAAAAGCATTTTTTGAAAGCCCATTCCTTCCATGACTTCCAGATTCGTACAAGATATGTACAATCCAAGGAGTCGTGGAATGAATATGAATATTCGTTGGTTGTAAAACAGTTCGTTTTGAATATTCGGTTTATCCCTGGAAAATCCTATATTTTCCCTAAAGGTTGATGGTTGATTATCCGTTTTAAACTGAGGTTTGCAAGTATCTACCATACTCGTGTTGATAAAAGCAGTTTTCTTTTTAAAAACCCTGGTTACACCCAGAGAGGTATATTAGCCTTAAAAACTAAATAAAAGAAAAACCGTGATGAACTAAGTCCTAAGGATATTATTATTAATACCCACCAGTAATTAAATCGGTTATTACTTTGAGGTTAGTTCACTTGATTCATTATTACAAAAGTAAATCTCTGCTACCTAGGTTTTGAGTTTCATAACCATAACTGACTGGATATAGCCCGCAACGGCCTGTATCCTTAATGACTTTGTCACCCGCAGACCTGCCGGTCCGACTGTAGCTAGCAGTGAGGTGCGAGATTGTCAGTCCCGTATAGATCTATACACAACAGTCACGCTCTCCCTACAAGAGACTCTGGTCACAAGTGCTAGTCCTACACTCTTGATTCTGTGGGAGTGTTACCAAGGACGTGCCTCAAACTTAGCCTAACAAATTTACAAGTAATAATACTGAAAATCATGTTTATGATTTGCATGAATCCTTTATAAAATAATACGTTTTACTACAAGATTCACAAGTTCATTATTCTAGTTTTGAAAACTGTTCCTACGAGTTGATTGCTTAATCGTTTGGTAAAACTGTTTTCCTTGTTAAAAACATATTGAAAATATAATTATCTTAAGCAAAATAACATATTTTGAGCACAAGTTTCCTTATGCTTTTGCTTGTATTCCCCCCCTGAAAACGTTAAAAACACGGAAAATGTAGGGGTATGAACTCACCTCGGGTGATTTGAATGAAGGATCGACACGAAAAGTTGGGTGTTCAAGTGAAGTCTTGAACACGATTTGATCCTAATTAACATGTAATGATACATAAAGGAGTCAAATGAAGGTATTTCACCACTAAATGTGATGGAGAACCACTCTAGGAACTTGGGAATACTTGCACTAAGTGTTAGGACCTTAAAGGATTGAATTAGGTGAGTATATGGCCACCTTTAAGGTGTGTGCGGCCATGGGTGTGCGGCTAGGTGGCGTGTGCGGTTGCACACAGGAGTGTGGGGCCGTATAGAGGGTGTGTGCGGCCGTACACAGGGGTGTGCGGCCGTACACCCTTCATGTATGCTCCAAGAGTCAATTTTTCAGTGTTTTAAGGTTCATACCAAGTCCAACTAGAAGATAGGGAATTAAACTCTCACTTTGGAGGTTCTTTGAGGTGTGTACGGCCACCTTATGAAGGTGTGCGGCCGTACACCTTCATGTGATGAAGAACATGATGAACTTTGATGATTAAGGGCTTAGATCAATGGGTCCTTTATGTATGATAAGCTAGGTGATGGAAAACTCACGTTTCTGAGGCCTTGAGAGTGTTCTTGGATGAAGTTTTTAGAGAGAGAAGGTAGAGAGAGAAAGTAGAGTGCAGCCAAATGAAAGGAATGAGTGAAAGGGGTCACCCTATATAAATAGGGATGAGTGTGCGGCTGGAGGATGGGTGTGCGGCCACACACTCGTGTGTACGGCCATACACTCGGGTGTGCGGCCACACACTCATGTGTACCGCCATACACTCGGGTGTGCGGCCACACACTCATGTGTGCGGCCATACACTCGGGTGTGCGGCCACACACTCATGTGTGCGGCCATACACCCGGGTGTGCGGCCATACACTCATGTGTGTGGCCACACACTCCTTTTTATGGAGTGTTTGGCCTATTTGCAACCCTAAATCTTAAACCAACCCATCCCTAATTCAAACTTTGGTTGTACAAGGCTTTAGATCATCCAAACAGGCTCGAAACGATGCTAAAAGATAGCTGAAACGAGTTTAGCATTGATAGAATTGGTTAAGTGTACAAGATAAAAGTTTCGGGTTGTCACAAAAGTTATTATTCATTTGCTTTATTTTTTCAAAGTCAAAACACTAACTACATACTATAGTATTGAAACATGAAATATAAGATTCATAAAAATAGTATATCTCAAAATAGAGATTTTGGTTCTATTATATGAATACATATTATATCACAAGTATTGAAACATAAAATATAAGAATCATAAAAATTGTATATCTAGAAATAAAGATTTTGGTTCTGATTATAGAAGAATCTCATATTTACATTATTTTTCTTCAAATAATTTTGATATAGCAGTTTTTATCATACCTAATTTTATAGTTAAATTATTGGTATTTTATAAATTATGATTTTCGCCTCTTATTATATTTTAAAGTTGCGTTTTTTGTCCTTTATATAATTTTTTGGCTTTTATTATTATTATGTTTTATTATTAATTTTTTTTAATTAATTATCATTTGTGGTGTTGTACAAAGCAAGATATAATTTCAAACATTTTTTCTCGTCTTCTCCGTACATAATTGTTTGAATCGAAACTTTATTTTTATACTTTTTTGTAGTCTTGCAAAAGTGTTCATCACCGCAACGCGCGGGATGACTAAATACTAGTTTGAATTAATGGTATAAATTATTTTTTTAAAATTCAATTTATATTTTATGGTATTGATTTAATATGTTGGAATCATATATAAGGTATATGTACCATTTTGATTACGTCATTAAAAAATATATTAAAACTGGTGAATTGTAAGGATAATTAATTAATCGAACCGTGTTTTTTCGTTTATTTATTTTGTTCGATTAACCAAACTGATAAAATCTTTGGTTTTCAGTTTTGGTTATAGTCTATTTTTTTTTATCCCACAACTACTAAAATGACGCTATTTAGTTTTGCTTCATGTTTTATATGATATAGTTGTATTTGTTTGGATTAAATATATCTCTAAATATTATTAAAAGAGAATCTTAAATTATCCACTTAACATTCATTGCATTTCAATCATATATTCTATTCTAAACCCTTAGATCATTTACACCCAAAAACCCATTGCGCAATGTTGCCTTCCGTTCGTCATTTAGGTGTTGTTTGTTTTTTTTTAAAAACCACTTCAGACCACTTATTGCTGCGCCGCGCAGCACACGCGCAACAGTTTTTAAGTCAGAAGTCTTCTGAAAAACAAACAGTTGCGAACGCGCAACACTTGGCCCTTCGCAACTGTTTGTTTTTCAGAAGACTTCTGACTTAAAAACTGTTGCGCGTGTGCTGCGTGGCGCAGCACTAAACCAACTGCTTCAAACCTCTTCACGCCTTAGTTTAACTTACTGCAGCAGTATGCAGACGTTAAAAAACAAACATACTTTTTATTACATGTTGCAGCCGTTTGTTCCACCTCTTCTGCTACAGAAGATTGCAGAGGTGGTCCGCAGACTTCACATATTTTCTCTTCGAACAAACAAACAGCACCTTACTCTCTCTGTCTCTTCTTCCTATCTAACGTTAAGAAACAGGTAAACCATTCGCTTCTACTTCAATCGGCCAAGATGACACATCTTCTGATCTCCACCGCCTTTGTACACCTCTTCTAATCTCACTGTTGCTTCCCTCTCCACCGCCTACAATAATATGACAGAATACCCCACAATATTCAATCAACAGGTAGATTTCAGGGCTTTCTCTTTCTGATTTTAGGGCTTTCACTTCCATCTTTCGTTTTCAACCGTCGACTTAAAATAGACCAGCGATTGTCATCTTGAAAAGTGTTTTTTGCATATTCGTTTGAGTAATTGTGAATTTTTGTTCGGTTTTGAAGGTGAATAGAACGTCCGTATTCAATTAAATTTTCTTCTTCATCAATTTGATCTCCTTATGTAGGAAGTTTAATGAGTGTGATTGATCTTAAACACCAGGTCATGATAGTTGGGCGTTTTTGCATTTTCATTGCTTTGTCAACATTTTTGTTCTGAATTTATTCATACGTTTCTGAGATCTATCTCAATTCTTTCATCCATACATATCTTATTTTTCCATGATCTTATCGTATTCCTATACTCCATTCCATGGATGCTCATGCTCACGTTTTTTCTTCTCTTTGCTATCAAACAGTTGTTGAAACTAAAGACGGATCTGTATCTGTTGCTTCAGCTTTTTCTGGCCACCAGCAAGGTTAGATAAGATCCACTACAAATCAATTTTTTTATTTAGTTACTTATTGATCCTCTTATATATCTTCCTTTGGTGCACAACTTAGGTTTTTAAGGGTTGTTGTCCCATTATTATCAGTATCAATCACAAGGGGCATGTATTACTTATGTATTTAGATATCACATGGCCACTCCCATTAAGTTGATAACCATTTTCATAAATATTAGCTGCTTTTCCAACATAACTCACCTGTAATTAATCACAAGTTAACAACAAAAAGTGGCAAAAACTAATATATTAATGATAATAATTATGAATGTAATATGGCTTAAGAGACATAAATGATAAACTAATCTGAGTAGGGATTATAATTGCTTCATTGTTTAATGGAAGTTGTGCATTTGAAGTTGATGATGTAACTGAGGAATTACTTGGAAGAAAACTGAGAAAATTTTGTTATGTGTTTTTCGGAGATTTTAAGGTTTTTTCCATCAGAAGTGAGATTTAGAATGCAGCCTTTTTTTTAGAGGAGGGTTTGGCGAATCTCTTCAAGGGACATTGAATCTCTTCAATTTTTCCTTCAAGATCTTTCAAGAATTCTAGATAACTGCAAGTGTATTAGATATTAGTAAAAAAAATAAACTGATTAATATTTTACATAACAATTTGATTTTAGTTACATGAACTGTTGATTAGTTGAATGTGTAAAATGAAACCATTTACAGCAACTTAAAGTTTCACATCCAAAACCCAGACCATAATCTAAAATTCCTCCTGCTAATAAAAAGACCAAACAGCCACTGTTTCTTAAAATACTAAATCTGAAATTAGTAGAGAAGCAAACCAAAGGGAATAAGCAGTGATCTTTAATTTCCAAAGACCAGGAATATGACCAGAAAATGCAATAGAATATAAAAGAATTATATTAAAATTCTGATGAAAATGCCCCTGTATGAGCATCCGGAACTGCGACATGAAGCGGATAAGCTCAATGAAAAGAATACCATCCACAATGTGACCAAAATACCCCTTGGACAAATACGCATAATTAAAATGACAGGCTCCAGCATTCCTTATCTTCTTTAAATCAATATCACTCATATCAAAATACTTGTGGTTATTCCGCTGAAATTTCAATTTTTACAAAATGACGAATATACCCTTTAAGCCATTTCTTGAATAACCCTCTTTTATTAATGTGTGGTTGATAAATATTACTTTCAAAGGTCAAACTTTCACAGTTTGTGAATTTAGTCTTTTTTTATCATTGCTAGATAGTTTTTACTAATTATTATTTTTACACCATGTGTTCCATGCATGTAAAAAACTCAACCAAATTGAGCTCTCTGATTGTGAGATTTATGCCTCTTGTGAGCCCTGTCCTATGTGCTTTGGTGCCATTCATCTTTCAAGAATCAAGGTGCATTTTCCTCTCTAATCCAAATGACATCTTTACCCTTTTGTCTAAAAATGAGAGTAAAGTTACAACACTACAACCTTTTACATACGTCCTGCTTTAGCAAAGAGTGTACATGACCATTTTACCCCTAAAATCCAAAAAAAAGATCCGTTATTTAGTTTATTTATGTGAATGCAAAGTTGGTTTATGGGGCAAAAGCAGAAGCAGCAATTGCAGTTAGGTTTGATGATTTCATTGCAGATGCATTAAGAGGCACTGGATTTTATCAAAAGGCTCATATGGAGATTAAAAAAGCGGATGGAAATGGAACAGTTATTGCTGAACAAGTATTTGAAAACACCAAAGCCAAATTCTCCATGTATTGATTTCATTTCATACATTTTAACATTTCACATTTTCAACATTATTATTATTTCTCCATTGTTCTCAACAATTGATTACAGAATCTCAAGTTTTCTTTCATTAGACACTATCTATATGTAATTGTTTGCATTTTACAATTTCTGTTTTACTAATTTATTTATTAATCAGAAAACTGAGGTTTTTGAATCAAGAATCAAGAACATAACAGAGACATACACTTCAGGCCAGATAATATTAAAGGAGCTTGTTGACACACTGCAAACAGAAGCTTCTTCTGATTTGGTTCATATAAAATTCTCTTATTACTCTTTTCATACTTTATATCTCATATTTTGTTTTTTAAATCTGCAGTAAGTGGTTTCTTGTGATGGATGCTGTGGAATCACCTTCAACATAGTTCAGAACTAACAGTTTTACAAATGCTATTAAGAAATTGTTTATTTGGTCTATTGCACGTAAGCTATTTTTCTTTATACATTAAATTGTTTAACATTACAAAAAATCAAATATTCTAATATATTTATAATATTTCACCTTTTTTCAGGGTTTGCGCGTGTAAAAGGAAGATACAGATAGTCTTATTTTAAATAATTAAAGAAAAAAAAGATATTCAATAAAAGGAAGATACCGATAGTATATATCAGTTGTTTTATACTGAATGTAGTTGTCTTATTTTAATTTTTGATTTTGTAAATAAACATGTCCACATTAGACGTTTAAAGAATTAAATAATTAAAGGCTATTAAAGTTGCTTTTTATTTCCAACAATACAACGCCAAATTCGCTACATGTTTTAATAGAAGATTTATTCTATCTTATAAATAGATATTTTATACATTTAAATATTAAATAGTTAAATACGTATAAGATATCTATTTATAAGATACAATTAGGTATATCATAACCAATTCAAGCAATTTTATGTAACAATAAAAACAAATAAATATGCAAATTTGTTAAAGAAAATCTTTTCAACACTGAAACAATATATATATACTTTTTTCAGTTAACTGAAAATACAAGATATTACATTTTGTTGCCCGGCTTCCATATCATAGTATTGAAAACACATATCATATTATTCGAAATCATCTCGATGCTAGAAGAGTTAACATTTTTAACGGAATAAACATAAAAATGATAAATACTAATTTGATTTTTATATAAAATAGAAATTCAACATAGACAAGATTACACGATTGGTCTGTTGACTACAATTACAGCTACTTGTATTCAAATTTTGACCACATTTGAGACACAAACCTTTACACATCGGATCACATATGGCATTGATCTTTATTCCAGATGCATCATGTCTCTTACATTCTTTGATATGTCTATCACTTTCTCTTCAGGAGGGAAATACAACCAGTCATCTAAGTCAAGTCATCTAAGTCAACAGATGCTAAATCTTCTTCTTCTTCTTCTTTAGTTCCATTGACCTTACTTTGACCATAAATTACTCCCATGTTTATTGTTTTAGGATCTTCTATTGGCTCTTCACGTAGAATCGAGAAATTAGAGAACACACAATCAGCAGCAGATCCACCACACCTTCAATCAAAGTTTGAACAAACAATTACAAATTATGTCCCTGTTCTTTGAAAAGTATTTAAATTTTTTCCCAGTACCTGTTGCATCCAAGAGTTATGATTGTTCGTATGATCCCATCAAGCTTTAAGTTGTGCTTCTTTCTGGTAACATCCATGGATATCAAGACAGGTGTTCCATGTGGATAATCCTTCACTGACTTTGTGACACGTGATCCCATTAAAGAAGCTCGAGATCTTGAAACATCAGTAGAAAGATGTACTAATCCTAATCTTTCTAAGGTTGTGCAATACTCAATGTGGTAGATTGAAGGGTTCCTTTGGTACAAAATTGCCCCTTCCCAAGGTGAATCCATGGAGTCATCTCCTTCTCCTTGATCTATCCAATCATCTTCCATATTGTTTTCATCACTAAAGAGTTCATAACTGGAGTTCATGGAGGATTCTCTTGCTATGAGTTTCATGGGTGCTTTGTGTTTTAGAATCATGGATATGTGGTTATTAGGAAATAAGCATTTTTGAAGAATGTTGCAGTGGATAGAAAAATGGTGTCAGGCTCCTTAATGACTTCCCTTCAACTACAAGCCAACATACATAACTGATGTACATAATTTCAAAATCTAACTATATTTTAGCAAAAATAGATTGAAATGTTGTCATAGATATCGATGTTGAATATAGAAACTTGCCATCGTCTGTAACCAATCCAATTAGTGTATGTTTCTATCTCTCCAATTAAATAGAGATCATAACCAAATATAAAAACCTAAAATAGAGAACTTTTCTCCTTAAATAAATGTCAAAATAGAGATCATAACCAAATATAAAAACTTACAAAATTAGGGAGGATTTTTTTAATAAAAATTGCAAAGAAATCTCACAGAAAACTATGAAAATCAGGAAAAAAAAATAACACGGTTTTACCTTAAATAAATCTCACAATAGAGATTATAAGCAAATAAATCTCACCAATCCCTCTCCGTTGTCATTCCCAAGTCTCCGATTTCACCATCTTCTTCGCCTGGCACCCGTTGCTGACTCGCTGACTCGCTGACTGAAATCTTTCTTAAAATCGGCTAAACTTCTTGCCCCTGTCTGTCAGCCTATGATCAAGCTCTGTTGGTAGACTCATACTCACTCACTAATCAAACCCGTTGCTGACCAGCCGTCTATACGACTCTCCGAACCTCCGTCGTCCATTGTTGTCGTCCTCTTCGCCGATTGCACTGTTTTTTCTGTTATTCTCCACTCTTCTTTTCTCTTGAAAATTAGATCTTGAAGATCAGGTACGTCGTCTTTATTTTCTTTTGAAAATACCGTCTTCAGCGACTTCACTTTAGAGGGTTGTGTTATTGAATCAGTAGCTTTTAAGTTTTAAGTGATAAATAACAAAGATATGAAGTTTTAAGTGATAAATAACAAAGATATGTGAAGGTTCCTAAAATATCTATGGCTAATAGTGTATGCGTATGAAACACAAAGTTGGTAAATAGTCCTTGCCTAATTACGAAATAACAGAAATGGTCCTTGCATTTCACAAAATTAGACGGCTGTATTATTGAATTTGTAAGTTTCATGTATAATGTTAAGTCTTTTTAATATATATATATATATATATATATATATAATATATATATATATATATATATATATATATATATATATAATATTTGTAAATTATGTTTCTATGTTTAACTTATGATATTATGTTTCTGTGTCGATATCTCTCTTTGTCGATTGTTATTACAATCTAAAATACAACTTTTGAAGTCTTTTCAATCAACCACGGATGGGGATGAACCTCTCATTTAATTGTCATCCAAAATTACATGTTAATTTATTCAGAAGACTTCAAAATTGCAATATATTGATATAATTTGACTTTGACCCAATTTGTTGTTATTTTCTACCTAAATTAAAAATTGCAAATAGCTTTCTGTTTGTGACTTAACTGTGGTCTGTGTGTTTGTAATTGTTGTTTCTGTATGAGTAAGGGTAGAATGCTCATTTTTTAAAATTTGACCATGAAGCATACTAACATTATAAAATGTCAAATTATTAGCTAATAATCCACATGGTTTTTACTTGGACACATGAAAAAATGAGACATGTTAGTTGGTACCAATGCTATTTTAAAAAATTAAGTCTGAATCTATTTTTTCCAAATTTAAAATTTGCATTCATAAATCTGATAACCGTGATATCCCAAAAATTGCATATTTAGCTATGTTGTTATTAATTGTTTAAAGGTAAAAAGACATTGCTATTTCATACCAGTATGCCATAATTCATAATATATATTTTTTTCCTTTTTTTTTCTTTTTTTATTATGTAAATTTAGTATAAAACATTCATAAATGTTTTGTTCTTTTATAATAGTAAAAATACGACAAAATAAAAATATATATACCAACATTCCCAAATTGCCCATGCATTGTACATTTATTTTTACTACACATTTTATAACAACAAATTTGTATTTTTTTTGCTTTGTACCTTTAATCATAAACCCATACTTACATAAAGTTTGATATTTTTTTTATAAAAGTCCCGTTTAAGCATTAAACTTAATAAATATTTAACTTCAAACAATCATTATTTTGTCCACAAATAGATAAATGGCTCAAACCACAATTGCTAATTGTAGCAACCCTTCGTCATTGATCATCTACTCTGAAAATGAAGATTTCCTTCATAATTTTGATTTCCATAGTATTGCTGATCTCCAACAAGTACATCAGGTTTATATACGTCACTTTCATTTACAATATATAAATTATGTGAAATTGGTTTTGTATTATTTATATCTTAATCCTTGATTATTATTATTTTATACTAAAATTTAAACTTCCATTAACATTTTTTAGGAAAAAACTTTAATTGTTGTCGGTACGATTAAGCAAGTATGTGCTGAAGGGGAATGATATTGTTTTACTTGTACTAGATGTCAACAGAAAGTCGTAAAACAAATTTTAATCCATGATGATCAGTTTCAAGATAAAGAAGTTTTTTATTGTAACACTTCAAGCTGCATGAACAAAGTCATTTCTGTTGTTCCCAGGTTTTGAAACTTATGTTATAAAATATTAATATATTGTTCTGTTAAATTATATAAATTTATATTACTAAATCTATTTACATCAATGCTTTCAGTTTGAAAATCATCATTATAGTTGAAGATATTACCGGTTCGGTGTCACTTACTTTATATGATTCTGACGCAAAGAAGCTTATAAAAAAAACGCACAATAGTTGGTTCATCAGTTTTATGAGGTTACACATATTAACTTCATTTACATAAAACAAATTTATTATTTTGTATATCTATTTTTATAAACGTTCTTTTTTTAGGATGGTAATAACAAAATTTATCCATCTGCTCTGAATATACTATTGGAGAAAAAGATGGCGTTCAAAATTCAAATTTCACATGACAATTTGAAGAACAAAACAGAACGTTATGCTATCTCAAGGATCACGTCTAACAATACAATCATTGATGAATTGAAAAAAATATTGAAAATGGATCGGGTAAAATTCTTTACCGTCAATACTACAAACAGTATACTTATTATCATTTCAATTCGTATGTGGTGAAAGATTAAATTTTAAGTTTTTCTAATATTATTATCTTATTATTTCTTTCTTTTGCAGTTATCGTTATTGACTTCTGAACTAATTATTGGAATTCTTTCACGAACATCATTACAAACATTTGCTACTATACGTTGTACAAATAAATATTTTGGAAATCTAACATACAGCAACCATGTTCTTCATAACTACAACCGTAGAAATAATGTCGTTTGTGGAATTATCGTTCAACAAAAAAAAACCATGGAGAAATATAGAGCGTCAGTTTGTTCCGTCTTCTGCTAGCAACAATCTTGACATTGATTGGCTACCACATACTTATACTATTTCAGCGTCATCCTTGTGCGGACTCCTTGTTGAATCCTATGATCCAAATGAATACGTTTCAAAGATTTTATTTGTTATCAAACCAACGACTACAGATTTCAAATGGATACCGTTTCCGATCTCTGAATACACTACGGTAAAGTTTGCTTTGGTAGTTATCAGTTCGAACTCGTTACATTTCAAGGTCATTCGATTGTCATACATAAAGCCATCGTAAGAGTTTATATGTAGTATATTTTATGTTATTAATTTACTTTATTATTTACTTATATGTTATTGTATTTGTAGTGATATGCTTAAGGAAAAAGTAGACTACGATTACTACAAGATAGAATTGTTTTCATCTACTACATGGCAATTGAGGGAATTTTAAAATATTCAGTTACCATCATCTGTTTTTCCTGTTTCTGATGAGGCAGTTACGAGTTGCGGTGTCGTTTACTTCTTATTATCTAATGATATCATATTGCGATTTGATATTTATTCAGAAGAACATATACTCATATTTGCACCTTCTATTATTAATGACTTCAAACCGTATGCATCGAGACTGATCAAGTTTCACGGAAAATTGAGATATTTCTCTGTAAGTGGAGATCGTTTGTGGGCTATGTGGGTTTTCATTTACAATCGGTGGGTTAAAGTAGATGTTAGTAACTACAGTGAAGGTCCACATGAATGGTGGGATTATAGAAACAATACCTTATATTTCTTTAAAGGAAATACGATTGAGTATGTGGTTCTGGCACATCCTTCTCAACAAGTTTTTTCAATCCGTTCTGATTTTGATAGAGTGACTATGCCAAGTAGATATTATTGATTATATATATTTTAATTTGCATTCGAACATAGTTGTTTTTTGTAATGAACTATTTAAATATTTTATATTACTCTATGATTTATTAGTTTATTTATTTATTCTTTTAAATGTTATGAGGTTAAAATAGCTGTTGTAATGTATGTTAATGAATTTAAAATAGCTATGGTAATGTACTTTTAATTGTCATGCTTCCTATGATGTAATATATGTTTACAATTCTATGTTTTTTTATACGCTCCCCCGCGTTTAACGCGGGTCATAATCTAGTACACGTAATATATTAGAATGTAAGTGATTCATTCTCAAATGTCGTTTTTTTATAAAAAAATATTGAGAAAATTTATGAAATAACCAAAAGTTAGGGGGTGTTTTAAGCATTTAATCATGAAATTTTGAGTTTTGGAAAATGACCACGAGATCCGCAGAGGGGGATCTGCGGATCCCTTTAATCTTCTGAGGAACGATGCACAGTACTAAGAAAATGGCGTGACACCACTCAATGACAAAAAATTTCGTGGCTATAATGGTTCCGCAGAGGTGGCTCTACGGATCAATTGTACACATCTGCGGATTGCTAATAATCACAGCAGATCCATCGAAAACGGGTAAAATCGGAAAAATTGCCAAAACCAACCTCATTCGTAATACCCTAACTGTGGAAAGAGGAAGGAGGCAACTCGAAGACGCTGAATCGATCATTCTAATGGTGCGTCGATCGCGACTTGTAGAACAACTACACTCGTATGTGTTATCCGATGACTATGGAACACATGTAAGTTTATTTTTCCTCCTTTTGAAATTGTATGAAAACGTAATTGCCCCCTCTGCGGATCGACATTCATCTATGCGGAATTCCTAATGTTTTTTTATTTTGATTTTATATGCAGAATTTGGTATTATTATTTTTTTTCGATTTTGAGTTCCATAGTCCATTAAAATGCATAATAATTATAAAAGGGTATTTTAGTCTTATTTTTTAAATTTTGCCATATATGTGTTATCTTTTGCAGCATAGTAGTGGAAGGCCTGCAAAATTAACTTTTAAAGGGTTGGTGGGGACTGTGTTGAGGAAGTTCATTCCAAAACTAAATAGTAGGCGACTTGAATTATTTTCGAGAGACATTGTTTGGGATCTTCATTGGTATGCCCATCCCGAATGGTGACCCGATGCTCTGTCATTTGATGATGTTGCATGAGGTTCGTGATTGTAGCCAGGTTGGGAGGTTTCAGTTCGAGTTACATGGCAAGGTGGTGGAATATGGTGAAACTGAATTTTGTTTGATTAGCGGTTTGAGATTTGGACCTTATGTTGATTTAATCAATACAAACACAACACAAAATCTGCATTATGGAATCGGTTGTTCCCAAATGTGAGAGATGAAGATTTACGACTGAAAGATATAGAAGACTACATAAAAGGGCCAACATTTTTGACTTGTAGTGATGATGATGTGGTAATGCATATGAATATCTTGTTTTTGTTGAAAGGTCTCATAGGACGCGGTACAAATAAGTGCATTCTGTCGGTAGTGTATGAGCTCGCCGATAATCTATATAATTGGAACAGGTAATAAATTTAATATTTATTTATAACTACAAGATGATTTATATTAATTATAATGAGTATGAACAAGTTTGCGTGGGGTACGTTTTTATGGAGGTATAGTGAAACACAATTATGACTCTGGTTTGGGAAAATTTACAGATATTTGTGAGATCAAGCCAATGTGGGTTCCGTGAAGACGTTGAAGTATACGGTGACTGGTTTTCACTTTTTTTTAAGGTTAGTTTTACGTGCAATTAATATTACACATTTTAAAGTGTTTATAATCATCGACAAATCATAACATGCATGTTAAAGTTATACTAGGTATGGATTCTGGAGACATTTCCAGAAGCTTTGAGGTATGCGCATCACACCAAGAATGAGGGCATGGAGAATAAAAACACAATTAACTGTGGAGCAATGTTTACGTAGATTAGACGTGTCACTGGTATAGTTATACATTCCTTATAAAGTTATACATAGTAAAAAATCTCAAAATTTATATGTAGTTAAAGTTAATGTTTTTATTTTGCAGAAAAACAACATTCCACGTGTTGTTGAAGCAACGATTTTTTAGATCGAATTGTCATTCTATTTTCGTTATCTGACTTGGACTTTGCATGAAGTGGAGTCTCCACCGATGCAGCAAAGCCCCCCTAAACAACGGTATCCATCACCTTACCCCTCTCAGTTTCAGCAAGTAGATTACATCATCTCACCCTCTCATGTTCGGGGAGCAGACCACAGCACTTCACAAGACAGTAAAATAGACAAGTTAATGGGCGTTGTTAATCATTTGGTAACCATAATCGAGCAGTTTACGAAGAAAATTGACAAATGGGAAAACGAAAGACAATTTCGTGTGAATGATATCAATAATGTCGATGGCCATGAAACATTTTTTGGTGGTTTGGATCCGGAGTCACCCGCTACGTATATGGAGTCGTCACCTATTGTTGTTGAAATTAATGATAATACAGTTACACCGGTAAAGGATACACCAAAAAAGAGGGGGAAGATGAAATCGAAGTATTTTTAGGGAGCCTTACGTACACATATTACATAAATTACTTTCTATTTATAAATTATATCATCGTTAAAAATTAATTAACATTTTGATTTTATAGGTTCCATCCACAGAACCAGTGAAGAACAAAAAAGGAAGAAAACCGAAGGACGGTACTTTAGAGAACGTACAATTACTATTGGATCGTTACATGCCTACTGAGGAGGAATTTTGGAAATTATGGGGAAAGAACCAGACGGCGCTTTTTTTAGAACATAAGCATTATAAAGGTTTTGATATGAATTGAGAATTTTGGGCAACTTTACTTGGCATGTATGGGTCTGGGTGGTTGGACTCTACGGTAAGATATATCCCTTATTTCATTGCACAAAACATTTTGGATGATTAATTGTACAAAATATAACTTCTTATCTTATAACACACAACATTTGGTAATATGGGTGTCGTTGCTCAAGGAAATCAATCCCTCGACTGCTAGGTGGACGATTATTAATCCTCAGCACCACTTTGGAAGCTTGGAACAAACATTATTTGAGGCGAATAGCAACAGGGAAGGTTGGCGGACCTTATTGGAAGGATATTGATCGAGTTAGTATATTTATTTATATATCATATAATTTTAAAATTATATATATATATATATATATATATATATATTTACATTTTTATGCAGATTTTAATTCCCATCGATGTTCCACAAATTCATTGGTTTTTGGCCGAGTTGAATCTCATTACATGGAAAGTGACCATATACGATTCAGCTAAATGTTGTTTTTACTTTAAAGATTATGGGGAAAACGGTTGTTTCAAAACCTTGGGTGATAGTATTTTAAGTGAACTAGACAAAATTTCATATTGGAAGCATTTTCCCGATAGATAGAAACCTACTTCGGTGGAATTTGTTGAAGGTGAAAACGTCCCGCAACAGGAAGATGGAGGTAGAGGAGATTGTGGAGTATATGTGTGCGTGTTCATGGAAATGCTTGCATCGGGGGTGGAAGTGGAGACACACCAGCCAACTCGAGTTATGGAATTTAATTACTATAATAGGATGACAGAAATTATTTGGGCAACTAGAGGTTGATTGTGTAGTTGGATTGTGTAGTTTTATTACTGTTTTAAGACTAATCGGTTATTTTATGATTATATTAGTGCATCATTACTAGTAGAGTTAATTTCATAAAATAAATTAAACTAGAAGATAATACATATAACAAACCAAACACACATAATAAACGTAGAACAGTAATTAACTTAAGGCAACTACAATGGATACTTATCTTTCTCCATTGTTCTATAGTTGTCCCTAATTCTTAGTTTATCTTCAAAACGATTTTTTTGCCGCCCAAGATCTATCATTTTTGCATCCTTCTCAGCAAACCATTTTCAGTCATTTTGATAGTCTTTTTAGTCTTTTTTATCCATTATTCATGCTCTTTGATTTTATTTTTATTAATCTACATCCTTTCCTCAGCCTCTTTGCACTCTGCCGCAATGACGTCACGACGTTCAGTGAGAGCCCGAGATGACTCTTTATCTATTTTTTGTTGTTCTGCAGCCCATTACAATTGTTGCAAAGTATCATCAAACATATATGGCCCTCTCATGTTTGGTGATGATGCAAGAAAAGGGTCTATCGGATCACAATAGTAATAATCAACTTCGTTGCACGAGAAAATATAGAAATTTGAAGATGAACTCATCTTAAAATTCAAAAAAAATGTAACTCTCTACCAAAAATTCAACGGTCATCTATGACAATTTATACACCCTTCAACTCCGCATAGAGCTGTTTGTCAGTCTGCAGAGCTATTTGTCAATCCACGGAGCTGTTTGTTGGGAATCCAAGGATGTTATTCGTTGTGATCCATACATTACAATTATATATTAAAAGGTAAACATTATTTATTAAAAAGTAAACAATGCCAACAGACCAAAATTAAGGTTGACATAGAATTGAATACAAACTAATATTTATTG